CCCCCCCGCGGGCCGCGCATGCGCCGTCGCGGGGGGGGGACAGGCGCGTTTCTCCCCCCCCTCGCAAGAACTCCGTGTACCCGTGCGCGTGCAAACGGGGTGTGCTCGTGCAAGGTGCTCTCGCAGCCCGTGGACATGCAAAGTGCTCGTGCAAGGTGCGTGTGCCTGTGCGAGCTGCACATGCAGGAGAGATGTGCACGCTCGTCCTTGGGGCGCTCGGCGGAGCGGGGACGTGCGGGGCCCGTCACTTCTCCCCGCGCTCATCCCCACTCCGCACGTGCACCCGCAGTGCCAAGGCGAAGGTTTGTTGCTGCCGCTTCTCGGTAGCAAGCGTCTCGCAGGCTGGCGTCGGCAGCACCGCGCCAGGCCCTGCCTCTTCCTCCGGGTCCTGTCACGAGCCTCTCTCTTTTGTTTCCCCCCCAGGCTCCAGGAGCGTCTGCAGCGCGACCCGTGGCCTTGCTCCAGCCAGGGGGACTAGGCTCGGGCCGACCCGTCTGTCTGCTGGGTGCAGCCCCATTGCCTTCCCCTGTAGCTTTGCAGCCCTTCGCCCCGCGGGGGGAGGACGGCTTTAGAGCGTCACGCACGACCCCGGGCCCCCAGATCCCAGCAAGATGTCAGCGAAGTGGAGGGTACTGGACAAGACCAGCCAAAAATGATTAACTGACACAGTCTTTCTAATCGTAAAATTCTTTCCTGGGAGAGAATTAAGGCTAAAGAATTGTTACAGTCCATTTGTTGAGGACAAACAGACGAGATGGCTCAGGTAATGAGCCCCCAACTTCCCCATCGGTAACGCGGGGATCCCACGTCCAGCTGAACGGGCTGCAGAGCCGCGGGGGCCCCACTTGCTAGAGGGGGAAAGCTCCACGTAACACAAGCAATTTGAGTCGTGACCCGGTCCGGCGGCAGTGGCATGCGAGGGGTGGCTCAGTGCGTACACACGCAGATACACACGTGCGGGCTGCTCCCTGGCCTTGGGGCTGTCCCCTTCCCAAAGCCACGCAAGCTCAGCACCTGCAGAGACACTCTCCCGCTAGTCATTGTAGGTCTTCCCTGAGCCGCTTTTTGGCTTTTCACCCGGGATGGAGCGCATCCCGTGCCGGGTGGCACAGGGCTTTCGGCTTGGTCACTCACTGGCTAGCAGTGGACAGTCGGCTGCCCATGCACAGCTCGCCCCTGCAAATCTGTTCATGCCAATCTGTCTCTCTACAGGCGAGTCTCCTAGCCTGCGAGGGGCTGTCTGGTGTGTGCCTTGTGCCAACTGTTGCCAGCAAGAAGATGATGCCAAAACAGAGCTCAAAACAGGCTGAGAATGGCGAGCGTGGGAGCAGCCCGGACATGCTGGTACGGTGGGGGTCTGCCCTATCGTGATTCAGCCCGATATGTCCACGACTGTGAGCGCACCCCACAGTGTGTGTGTGAAGGTTTAGTGGCTCCGGTCTGAGCCTGGGGGAGGGGGAAGCCTGGTAGGAGAAGAGGGAAGGGTCTCTGGGGGACACTCTGACTGTGAGGTCTCTCTTTGGAAGGGTCTGCGCGCAGAGAGCGAGAAGCCCCGGAGCCGGAAGGAGGAGGAGGCAGCGGAAGCATCGCAGCCAAAGAAGTCCCTCAAAAAGGCAGGTAATCGGGCGCGGTCCAAGCAGGGCTGGGAGTTGTAGCAGATGCCAGGGCCCCTCCCAGGCCCGGCGTGTCTTGCACAGCTCCACCTCCGGTTTCCCTGCCCTGCATGACTAGCGAGACGGGCTCTGGAAGGAACACAGAGGGGCAGGGCAAATCGATGCCACATCCTGCCACCCGTCCTGGCACTCTCTGTGGTGCTGAGCCACCAGCCCACAGATCTTTAAGTCGAGCGCGTGCCTGGGATCCAGGACTCCTGGGTCCCGTTCTCGTTAGGCTCCACAAGCAGGTAAGAAGGTGGCTGAATGGCTGGTGAGTGTCTTGGCAGCACTGTCCTCCCAGGAGACTGGCGCTTCCCCCCTGGTTCTCCGGGGCCTGGTGTTGACCAACCCCGTGTGCCCTGCAGGTGGTGGTGATCGAGCAGAATGGCTCCTTCCAGCTGCGCATCCCCAAGAACTTCATCTGCGAGCACTGCTATGGAGCCTTTCGGAGCAGCTACCACCTCAAGAGACACATCCTCATCCACACGGGTACGGGGCTGGGGCTGGGGGGAGCTGAGGCCTCGCCCTGCCTGTGGCTGCTGCAGGCCTGGTCTGGGATCCACACAGGACTCTGCCCCTACCCCAGCCAGCGTCCAGTGGGAGCATGGTGTGGTGCTGTGATTTGCGGCAGGGGCGGGGTATCCTCGAAGGCAGGTGTTGGATGATGAATGCATGGTCCGTGTTCTGGTGCATGGCGTCCTGGAGGCCAGTGGGTGAAAACAGCTGCCCTGGGCCAGGGCAGGCAGGCTCTGCACTGCAGGGAGGGGGGTGACACCACGACTACCTTCACAGCCCTTGTTTCCCCCCCTGCCCAGGCGAGAAGCCGTTTGAGTGTGACGTGTGCGACATGCGCTTCATCCAGAAGTACCACCTGGAGCGTCACAAGCGCGTGCACAGCGGGGAGAAGCCCTACCAGTGCGAGCGCTGCTTGCAGGTACCACCCACTCCCCGGGCTTCGTGGGGTTAATTCCACAGGCTGAGGGCCTGGCCCCGCATCTCTGCTGCTGCGCCTTGGCTCGATTCCCCTCTGCCAGGCACGGCCATTGATCCGTGGCTTCCCTCGGAGACCCAGGCTAGACTCCGGGGGGACCTGGCTTCCTCCAGCAGGACAAGATATCTGTGTCCCATCCCTGGAGGCTGCAGCGTTCCTGGGTGCTGGGGCAGGACTACATCCCCTCCACCTTGCTCAGACTGTACTCAAAAGCTGGGTCCTGGCTGGAATCAACCCCAGGCCATGCCCTGGGGAGGGTGGGGACCCCCACGTCTGCCCTCCCAGCCGGGCAGGGCCCATTTCAGTACTGGCTCTCCACCCTGGGGCAAGCAGGTGAGACAGAGCCTGGTCTTAGTCCCCCTGAGCCACCAGCATTAATGGGAACAGCCCTAACTGCAGCAGGCCAGGAGCTGCAGCACGGTGCTGTCCACAGGCTCCGCTCTAACCCCCCTCCCCTCCCACAGAGCTTCTCCAGGACAGACCGGCTGCTGAGACACAAACGGATGTGCCAAGGTTGCCCAACCAAGACCCCCGACTCACAGCTGCTGCTCTAGGGGCCGAGCCGCCGCGGGACAAGCCGGGAAGCCGACCCCTTGGCGCCTTCCTACTCCGGGTTTTGCCTGGCCAGCCCCCTGGCCAGGGGGGCAGGGAAGGGGGCCGAGCCAGGACTGTCCCAGACTTTCAGTCGAGGTCCTGACACTGTACATACGCTGAAGATGATCTGGAATCCTTTTCTCTCCCTCCTTCCCCCACCAGCAGAAGCCCCCGGCAGCTGTGTATAAACCTTCTAGATTCGTTCCTACTCCCCCGCCCCCCCATCCCCCTTGGTTTTGAAGTCCCGCAATGGGTCTCTCAGGAAAGGCTTTGGAGGACCGCTAGGCCTCAGCAGAGGAAGCTGGCTCCGCTGGCCTCGGACTAACCGCCTGGCCTGCGTGGATGCTGGCTCACAGGTATGGAGGCGAGCAGGGGCGGGACTTAAATTTTCCTCTTTATTTAGTTTTGCTGTGAGTGAGGGGGACCTCGGCTTTGCGAGGGAGCCGCTGGGGCTTCACAGCGCAAGCCAAGCATCTGGGAGCAGGGCCTGCAGGACTGGTATCGCGTCTGCTTTTGGGGCCTGTGCATTTTTGCCTTCCGGTGCCAGGCCAGGAGAAGTAGAGGAGGGATTGCTGGGGGCGTTCAGCTGGAGCAGTGGGTCCGTGCGGGCAGGGAGTGTTGCTTTGGTGTTAGGTGCTGAACTAGCTCCGTCTGACGGGGAGATGGGGCAAGAGGAGCTTTGCTGATGTGAGGCAGTGTGGAGTAGGTAATCTAGCCACATAGCCAGGGAGAGACTGTTGTGAGAAGCGGGTGGCAAAGCCTCTTGCTCTGACCCGCTGGCCTGGTGGCTCCGAGAATAAAGCACCCGCTTTTCTCTGGGTGAGTGCAGCTGCATCCCACTCCCTCCCTGGCATCTAGCTCTGTGCACCGCCCTGCCCTGCAGCTCCTGACCTTGCCCTGTGTTGGTGTTCGTGACAGCAGGGCATGGGGACCCTGCTTGGTGCTGAAACTGTGGCCCAGTAATGTTTGTGCGCTGCAGTCCAGGATCTCACCCTGCTTCCCTGCCCCCCTCCAAGCAGCCACCATGGGTTAGGTGACATGGGCAAGGGGGGACAGTGGCATCAGAGACAAGCCCTCCTCCCCAGGAATGAATCCTGGTTCTTCGCGCGTCCCTGGTTCTGATGCTTCCTCCCGGAAACCTGTCCTTTCTGCACCATCTCCTGCTGCAGCCTTCACACCTGCTTGTGCGCTGCCCGCACTTCTTTACATCCCTCTTGCAGTGGCAGGGAAATGCACCAAACCTCTTGCCGCTGCCCAGTGGTGGCCTCAGCTCTCCATCCTTCTCATCAGTCTCGTTCCCAATGATCACAGGAAGCCAGCTCACCCGTGTTATCTCGGCTACACCCTTTCTGTACTCAGCCCACGTATCAGCAAGGTGACCAGGGAGCTCCAAACCGTTCTCCTGCCTCCCTGGCTTTGCCCATAGCCTCACCCTCTCTGGCATAGCCAGCACATCACTGGAAGAGACGGAGCTGTCACAGTCACTGGCCTGCCCTCGAGTTTTCGTTCATCTCGGTGGATTGTGAAGGGCCATGCTGAGCTGGCATCTGGGGTCTGGAGGCCACTGCAAGTACATCGCAGCCCTGGGGAACAGCCAGAATCACTGACGGGCCAACACTGAGATGGGAGATGTGTCAGTCGGGGGACTTAAGTCCCTGCCAGCAGCAGCTTTCTGCTTGGTGAAAGTGAAAGGTGCCTGAACTCTGCCAGGCCCAAAATAGCAGGGGCCAGCTTCCTGCCCCCAGCCGCAGCCTTGGTACACTGGGACCCAAAACAGCCCAAGCAGCCTCCGTCGGCAACCTGAGCTGAATGGATGGGGTGATCCCTGCACCTTCTCGGGGGTTGCCAGCAGCAGCCCCGGACCCAGGTGTACTGCCCCCCTGGGGGCTGAGCCTGCACTTGACCCCATGAAGAGGTCATTTCGGAGCATGCCCAACATGCAAGTCTCTGCAGCAGCTACATTGAATCACAGCTTCTCAGCACCTTCTGGCATCGGCCAAGCGTCCCACTGCACCCAGAGGCCTGCTGGGCTGTGGCACCATCCCCCCTGGGCAGCAATGTAAGCTCTGAGGCTGCAGCCTTGCAACGTCGGACCAAGCCCAGCGCCTGTGGATGCCCAGCGCTGAGTGATGGGATAGGAGGATGACTGCATTGCGCATGGAGCAAAGAGGGAAGTTAGTGCAGCACTTCCACTACAGCTGGTGGCTCTGCCTGCTGCTTCTGCATGCCCTGGGCCACCCAGCCAGGGCAAAACCTGAGAAGACAAGGGGCTGCTCATCTCCTAACAAAGAGGCTCTAAGGGAGCCAGGAGCCCTCTGGGCTTCCTCCCCTGCCCTCATCTTACTCAGGTGGGAAGTAGAAGTTGGCCGCCTTCCCCCTGCTCCTGGCTCTGAGCAGGGCTGAAAGCAGCGGCGAGGTTCATCTTTTCCTGCTCCCCCCACACCTTATGCCAAAGCAGCCGCACAGCACCGAGGCCAGCGCCTACCCCCGCCCTTACCCTCACTGCAGAGAGGAGCCGGCAAAGGAACCGCAGCAGCTGCGGCTTCTCTTAGCGCTAGCTCCTCACCCGCTGCATCTCTCGCTTCTGCAGGATTGCAAAGGGGGGAGGGGGGGGTGTGCTGATGGCATTGCTGAGCATAAAGGAGGCTGGTTTGCTTGTGGGGGGCTGCTGGGATTCCTGGCTCTCAGCCTCTGGCCCTAGTGGGTGTGGGACATTAGTCTCTCTCCCCCCGCCTTGCAGCTTGTCTACCGTTTTGTGCCTATGAGCAAGAGCTACAGCTGCAGCCTGTCCCCGTTAATGTGCTTGGTGCTGGGACAGAGGTGGGGGTATGGTGGGCTGGGAGCCAGGAGGACTGAGGCACTCGTGTCCCAGCTTTGATTTCTGCTCTGCCTGCATCCGCAGGGGCTGATTGTACCAGAGCCACCGCCTGCAGACAGGCGTTGGAGCGTAGCGTAGAAACGAGGAGGGCCGAGACGTGTCTAGCAGGGCTGGTGATAGGCTGTAGGAGCATCTCTTGGGCTCAGTTGCAATGTGGCAGCTCCCATCCCTGCCGCGAGGACCCACCGCTGAGCCCCTGGAGGAGGGTGTAGGCCAACGGTCTGGTCAGTTCAGCCAGGTACTAACGGCGGGGATGGGTGAAACTTCAGGCTGGGGAGGGTTCGTAGTCAGAGCCACCCGTTGCAGAGCTGCTGGCGGGAATGTCCCTGTTCAAGCGCACGGGAAGCAATCAGTGCCGCAGGAGGGGCTGGGGGAGGCAGGAGTAACGGGTGTGAGACTGCAGTGCTAAGTGTGCTCGTCCTGGGGGCCTTTGCTCATCCGTGCCCTGTCTAAACTCAGCCCCCACCTCTCATCACTTCTGCGGCGGGAGGAGTCCTGGCAGGCAGCCTGGGCCCTCTGCATCTCGGGTTATTTTCCCCCTAAACATTGCAGAAGCATTTCTTCCCCCTCCCCCAGGCAGAGGGGCTCAGGGTTCCCCAGAAAGCCTGTGCCCCGCAGCCCCCCTGCCTCAGGGAAACGGGGTAAACTCGTCGCACGTATGAAATGGGTGAACGTCCGCATTTGGAGCCGGCTCCTTGCTCTCTTGGAAGCGGCCTCTTGCAGCACTTAATTGCCCCCCTCCCCCCCGGGGGGTCGGGGGCACTGTTGATGTGTATGACGGCTCTCTAGGTTTCCCCTCAAAGCTGTGGCGTGGGAAAGATGGGGGCAGTGACCGCAACAAGTGATGAAAAGGAAACGTGACACAAACTGAAAGCACTGCTGTCTGAGCCGTGGCAGGCGAAAGGGCGCACTGGCGGCCGTGGCACGACAGGATCAGCCACAGGCTGGAGCTACGGCCTGGTTCCACCGTGGGGCCAAGCCCAGTGCTGCCTTCCCAGGGTAGCTCAGAGTTGTAGGGTGTCTAGTCTCGGGCAGGGCCCAGTTGCAGGCATGAGGCATCCCTGCACTGTGGGTACCCGCTACCCCGAACTCATCCTCCCTAGCTCCTGCGCTAGGCTGGATGTGTGGTGCTGCAGATCGGGGGCTCAGGGCAGCCTCCCCTTCCTTGCACACAGCTTATTTTTGCTGCACCCCTCGGCTGGGGAAGGCAGCTGACTTCCGCCCTTGGGGTGGGGGGGTACCCCGGGGCCTGCTCTCTACCCCAGCTGCTCCTGGTGCAGCCAGCCAGCCCAGTTTCCTCCCCAGCTTGCCTCATTCAGAAGCCCCCCGGGCTCACCGCACCTGGGAGCATCTCTGCGCTGGCAGGGGCAGGAAACTGTGCTCGCAGCTCGTGGTTCATCTGTCCACGGAGGACCGAAGCTGGGTCCCTCGGCCACGTGGCGACGTGACCCTGGCTCCAACAAGGCACGGCATACGCCATCCCACATCGGTTGGGACGGACAGACCAAGAGCTCGCAGCCTTCGCCGAGTCCCGTCGCTTGTTCTAATTTTTTTTTTTTTTTTCCAAATATACTTATTTTGCTATGGGGCGGGAGGGGGCGGGGAAGCGTGTTACTGATCAGATAAGCCGGGGTCACTTTTAAACTGTAGTTTTTCTAAGCTGTTGGAAACGTGTCTCTTTTTACCGCGCCCGGCGGCCCTCCCTGCCTGAGACACTGAGGGTATTTAAATAAAACTCGTGGGGTTTTTTTTTCCTTTTCTAAACCCACTGCCTTGCGTCTTCTCTCCGTTTGCAGGCTTGGGGGGCAGCGGGGGGAGAAGGAAAGGCTCCTCCAGGCCTGTGCGGGTTATAGCACCGAAGGAGCCTGAGCTCGCAGCGAGCAGAGTTCCCGAGGGGAGTCCTGCCAGCTGAGTGTGCAGCCCCTGGCACGGCCAGGCGAGCCCATGGGGGCCCATTCAGCTCATCCACCTGCAGCACGAGGCTCCTGCCCTGCCGTGGGGCTTTTCGGGGACTGGGGGAAGCACGGGGGATCCCTCTCCCTAGCATCAGGCCATTGGCGGGATGGAGCCATGGTTGCAGCAGCTACAAGCCTGCCCTGGCTCATTGGGGCGACTTTATTAACTAAGCAAAACCCTTGGGGTGTTGCAGGAGCCGGACCTGCCGAGCTAATTGCCGGTGTAAGGGTTTGGCCCAAGGGCACTGCATGACAGGCCGGTTCGGCCCTGTCCCCGGCTCTTCCCCCAGCTGTGCTGGCTGCTCTCCTCAGCCTCATCCCCCGCACGTGTCCTGGGTGCAAGGGCTCACCCACGTGTGCATGCACGCGTGCAGGGTGGGGCGCGTCCCACTTCCGAGCAGGGGAAGCTGCGGTGCTGAGAGAAGGCAGGGAACTGTCCCACCTGCAGCCCAGCCCTCCCAACTCTGGCCCAGGCGGAGCAGGGCTGAGGCCTGGGTCCTCCGAGCACCCTGACAGTGCTGTGCCGGGCCATGCAGCTGGAGGCTGCATGGCCAGGTGGAAAAGGGGAACCGGTGCAAGCGCCCACACGGCAGGGCAGGAAGATGTGGCAGCCGAACCCTTCCCTTGGAGGGGGTGGGGGGCTGCATCTGCAGGGGACTCCTAGAAGCACGCTCTGACACAGGGCAGAGGGCTTGCACGTGCACACAGGCCTCCCCCGTCCCTGCACCACACACCACCTACACCCCTCCACCCTCCGCACATACAAACACCACAGGGTGCAGCGGCCTGGGTAGCGCCGGAGCCCTTTATTGCCCCTGGCGCACCACGGGCTGTCCCTGCCCTGGGGGCAGCCTGGGGAGGGAGCCAAGGGTGGGGGCTGGGGGGCAGTCCTAGCTCCCAGCAGGTCTGGTGCCCGAAGGGTGCAGGGGGTATCACACGGCGGGAGCTTGCACGCAGCACGAGGGAGCCTAGTTACGCGGGCAGAGCCGGGGGGCATGGATGCCCGGGCTGCCGGCAGAGGCTGGACTCAGCTCTGGTTGTAGTGGGGATTGACAACGGTGGTGGTCGCGCTCCGGTACAGCGGGTTGTTCACCTGCAGGGGCAGAAAGGCAGCTGAGGCCGGCTGCGGGGGGCAGCTGGCCACGGACACGGGGAGCCCTGCCCAGCCCTGCCCTGCCCGTGGGGAGCTGAGGTGCGAGGGCAGCACAGACCTCGTTCCAGCGGCTGTGCTGCTGCTCCTGCTGGAAGCGCTGAAACTCCCGGCGGTCGTAGGACCACAGCATGCAGCGATAGGCCCCCACGAGCACCAGTCCCAGCGTCACGATGCCCACGACCAGCCCCACCACCAGCCGGGCCGTCAGGTCTGCGGTCTCGGCTGGGGGAGGCGGGAGGAGAGGGTGAGGGGGGCAGGCATCCGAGATCCCCCTCCCCCCTTGTGTTCACCCCGTGCCAGACCCCCCAGGGGCACCCCTATCTGCCACCCGCCTGGGGCTCACCCTCCCTGTCCTTCACGATAAGCTTCACGCCACCGCCCTCGTTGTGGATGAGGAAGATGAGGATGCGCCCGTCCTCCGCCTTCTCCTTGCACCAGGCCTCGTCCACGGCGGGCGCAGGCTGCAGCATCACCTCCACTCCCTGCTCCGCGCAGGCTGCGCTGCAGTTCCCGCTCAACGGCCCTGTCCTGAAGGCCCCGCAGTCCGCGCAGTCCCTGCCAGGACCTCCGAGCTGTCACCGCTGGGCACTGCCCCCAATCCCTCCCAGTCCAGCTCGTGCCCCAGCATTTGCCTTCCAGCCATCTCCGACCCCTGGCCTTTGTCTCTGGGAGATCTCTGACCCCTGCCCAGCTTCCACCCTGCCCTTTGCCCCTGCCCTCTGAGCCCTGAGCTTTGCCCCCCAGTTTTGACCCCTTCCTTTCGCCCCTAGGTCTCTGCCTGCTGCCCTTTGCCCCCACATCTCTGACCCCTGCCCTTTGCCCCCAGGCCCATACCGGTGCAGCTCGCAAGGGGTGCGGCAGGCTGGGCAGCGGCCACAGAGGCTGCCAAAGTAGCCGGGGTTGCACACGCACTGGTTGCACATGCAGCGCCCGTGCCCACTGCACTCCTGCCCGTCCCGCTCGCACGCACTGGTGTTCCGGCTGCACTCGCAAGCACTGCCCATGTAGTCTGGCTCGCACTGGCACATCCCGCACACACACTGTCCATGCCCTGGGGAGACGGGGGACCTTGCTGTCAGCCTGCAGCTCCAGTGCCAATCCCCCACCCCACGCCCGATCTCACCCCCAGCTCATCCCAGGCCCCTTGCCCTGCTCACCTGCGCAGAGCCGCCCGCTGTGGCGCTCGCAGCCAGCATCGTCACACTCACAGCGATCCCCGCGCACATGGGGGTCACACTCACAGCGGCCGCACACACAGCGCCCCCGCCCACTGCACGCGGGGCCTGTCCCATTGGCCACCCGGCAGCCGTGCCCTGCCGCACCCTGCTCCACTGCGTCGCACTCGCAGTGCCGCCCCACGCGCCCTGCTGGGCAGCTGCCAGGAATGGGACCAGGGTCACACAGAGCTGGGGGTGGCCCCTGCTCCCCCATTACCCACTTCTGTGCCTCAGTCACCCCCACCCCATGTCCTTCAGCCTTCATGGCGGC